GTTAAGGAAACTGCTACGGTACCCATGAAAACTGAAGAGTTTTGGTATATCACATTATGTGAACAAATAAATTTTAAAAAATAAATTCAAAACAGCATAAATTTTAAATTAAAAATTTGTATAAAATAAATCAATAAAAAAGACTAATTTAAAGCAAAATAATCAAAAGGTCAATTTTGATAACAAATTTTATTTATATTTGACCAAATTAAAAAATTAAAAACAAAATAATATAATAATATTATAAAAATAAAATAAAAATAAAAATAATATAACTGAAAAACTAATTTATACTATAAATTTAAAAAAGTTATCACCAAAGAAAAACTAAAACATATTAACAAAATATTAATATTAAACTTTTTAATTATAATAGATGCTATATTAAGATATAAATTAAAAAATATAAAAATAATATAAAGATACAGATAAATTATTAAAAATATTAAATTAAAATAAAAAATAAAACAAGTAATTATAAATAATAAAAAAATGACTATTCCGGTACCCCACAATTATAGTGGGTACCGTAGAATTTCTCTATTATTAATGGGGATTGATAACTTCAATTGCTAAATATTTGGCCTATACAGTGTATCATTAAGGACGATGCAGTGTATCACCAAGGACAATGGTAACAAGTTTTATTTCATTGTTAGTCAAACTGGAGTGAACCACTTACTACTAAATTGACACTATACAGTCAAGGATAAAACAAAATGGTGTTTCCCCTTGAAGTCATTGACGATGTACCCCAACAATAACAAATTGTTCTTGAGGAGGTACAACCTGAATTTTTGTGGTTTAGGGTTTCCCTTCAGCGTTACCCAAATGATTTCCTTTCTCAAATCAAATAAAGATTTTGGAAGGTCTTATCTTATTTATTTTTTTTTTAAATTTTATTCATAAATGAATATTAATTTATTATATTTTTATTAATATAGATATAATAAAAAAAATACAATAAAAAACATGAAGTTGGCGTTCTGAAACGGGCCGTTCTGAATTCAGAACGGCCCGTTCTAAAAGCAGAACGGTCCGTTCTGAAACCAGAACGGACCGTTCTGCTGCACTCATGTTGTGTTAAATTTGCATTTGGAACGGCCCGTTCCATATGTAAATTTAACACATAACATGTGCATGCAGAATGGGCCGTTCTGGTTTCAGAACGCGCCGTTCTAGTTCCAGGTGTATTCATGTCATTTAGCATCCACCTATGCATCTACGTGGCATCCACCTGGTATCCACGTCAGCAAGAGTTAACCCCGTTTAAATCATTTGGACGGAAGTCCCAAATTACAATAATTTAAATTATTGAAGATCAAATTAAGACCTAAATTAAAGTGGGACTAAATTAAAATAAAAACATATTACCATGGACCAAAAGAGATTTTTAACCGATATATGAATGTTTGTCTGTTACAAACGACAAATCAAACATAAATGTTTGTCTATTACAATAGACAAATCAAACATACACTTTATAAGTTAATGGTGTTTCCATTTTTACTATCAGATCGAGCAGTTTTTTATTTTATTTTATTTATATATATATAAACATGATCTAAGCAGTATTTTAAACTTGAAAATCAAACACTACTCAAAGTTCTATTAAATGAAAGCTAATGAAGTTGTCAAGTAGTATTATAAATCCTGAAACTGACTATATATTCAGAAGAGTTGTGTCCGATGGAGTCCATATAACAACCAAAAATGGTATGTGTGTCCTGCGATTAGGGACTAAGCCATCCAGTTTGGTTACTGTGTCAAGTTCAGTATTGACCTTTGAGAACCCGGGTTACCAACCCATAACAAAACTCTTCTCACACGTGTTTCAATTAGGGCCGATAAAATTAATTTTAATTTTATAAAATAAAATAAAATATATTCTATTAAAAAAATATAGTTTTTTTTTGTAAATTACGTTGAATAAAATTTAATTATAACAACTTTTTATTTACGTAATTTGTTTTTGGTGATCTTTTTATTTACGTAATTTGTAACCAGACAGAAGTAATTTTATTATTTTTAAAGTTATCAAATAAATATTTTTATGCATTCATGAATTATGTTTTAGAAAAATATTTAAATGAACAGACTACGTATCATATATTAATTATTAAAAATATTATTTATATTAATCATATATACTCAAACGGTAACTACAGTTTTTTTTATTTATATAAAAATATTATAGTCATAATTAAATTTTTACAATCAAATGTTAACACTTTTATGTTTTATTTTTTTTTTCATCCCTGAAGTATCTACCGTTAATAACAGACACTTTAATATACGTAAAACTAATATATAAAAATTATATACAAATTATGCATAATTAAAATGTATAATAAACTATACATACAAATAAACACTATATATATATATATATTTAAAATCTTTATACACAAATATTTTTAAACATCGATATTATATTATGATGTAATATTATTTTTAATTATTGATTATTTATTATAAAAAATTAGTACCCAAATAAATTATATACTATACTTAAATACATAAATTATATTAAAATTTTATATAAATAGATCGATATTTAAAAATATAAATTATATTTTAAATTTGAGATGCATAAAATTATCTTTTATTATTAATACTTTTTAAGATTATTGTCGACAAGTAAATATGATAAGTAAAACATTTGAATTTGATAAAAAAAAACTTAAAAAAACTTAAAAATACTTTTGATAAAAATACTCCTAAAATCATTATAACGTAAAATAGTTATTCGTGTTTACTACATAGAAATTAATTAAAATTTAGTTCATAATTAAATATAGTAAATAAAAATGTTAAATTAAAAAATTAAAAAAAAAATTTATTGAAAAATAATCTTAAAAATCAATTGTTTGTATTTAATATATAAAAGTTGATAAATTTGGATTTTGACTTACCATATTTTATAGTTAGAATTTTCATATTCAAACACGAGTTTAATAAAATTATTAATGCTTTATTTAGTTGCAGTGAAATTAAGGGAGAGAGAAGGGGGAAAAAAACACATAGCAGAAATGAGATTTTATTATGATTCATTAATATTTCTTTTATTCATAAATGAGAGTTTGTTCGATACCAAAGAGAGAAATAGATTGTTGTGAAATTCACACTTTTTTTATTTATTTGTAAATCAAAGAAGGAAATCTATAATGGCACGCGCGAGAAAGAAAATAATTTTGATTTATTATCGATTATAAAACCTTCTTCACTTAAAAAAAAAAAAAAAAACTTACGTATGATTTAATTGACTAAATACAAATTGATTAAATCAAAATATTTAATTATTTAATTTAAAAACTAATTTAATTTTAGAATCTTTTATAAGAGGTATAATTCTTTATGTTAAATCGACTTTAATAGAAATAAAGTGATATATTTTATTCTGACATTATATCGAAGTTGATAATCAAACTTTAATCATTGGTTAAAGAGTAAGTATTAAATTATTTGTACTAATGATTATTTTTCTAAAGTTAATTATCACTATTTCTCGTCAAATTTTTTTATTGACTTGAAACGTAATAAATAATAAATTGTATAAAACTTTTTTCTTAAGAATTGATTCAAAACGTATCAGGCACTATTTAAAAAAAAAAACATTAAATGTAATTTTTTTTAAGTTCAATAAATAATACTCCTTTAATTTTTCTTATAAGACTCATAAAAACTTGGATTCTTTTCATAATATGTACACAAAAATTTAAGATAAATTTTTTGATAAAGATAAGAAAGATTACAAATATGATTGCGATTGAATCTAAGATAAGTTTAAAGTTATAAATTAAATTAACTATTTTTTTTTTCAATTTTTTGCAGAGTTTAACTTTATTTTGCATGAAAAATATTTTGAGAATCTCAGTTTGAGTTTTCACTTACATAGTCGGTAAAAACTGAAGCAATAAATATATTAATCGTGAGAGAGATTAAAATAATTAAAATAAATAAAATATTTATATAAAAAAAATTATGTTTCATTAATGTCAAGAGGTAATTTTAAGTAAAAATCTTACAAATAGTGAATTAAAATGTAAATAAATCTTAACTAACTTATGAATAAAAAATCTCCATTAACTTTATTTCATTTAATGTTACTATTTGTTTAAACTTAAAAAAATGTTTTTAAACAAGTGCTTTTAAAAAAAATTAATTCTTTAAAAAAGAGATAGGAGTTACTTAGAAAAAATTAAAAAAAAATTAGACAAAAACATAATAAAATAAAAAAGTATATATTTTATTTTTTAAAAAAGTACTTTTATAAGAAAAAAAACTCAAACAAATAGACCCTATATCAAAAAGATATTTCATTTAATTAAGATCTTATTTTCATTGATATTTTTTATATCAAGTTTTAATGAATGATAATATAAATTTTTTTAATTGAAATTACCAAAATTAAATAACCTTAACTAATTTTCTTAATTAATACATAAATTCGATAATTTAGCGTATAAGCAAATACAAAGATAATATAAATTTAGGTTCAAATCATGGTACTATCCGTGTAATTCTGATAAATAAAAAAGTACAAATTTAGAACAAATTTAATGAGATTAACTATGAATTAAATAGTTAATTGGGTCTAAAGAAACTGTTAAGGTGTAGTTGACTCACATATATAATTTACTATCATTTATTCATTATAATATTATTATTTAAAAGCTTCATTTATTGGAATTGTTTTCTATTAGTATTTTTTTTATACAATAAAAACAGTCCTGCTTTAAATTTTGTTGAGACACATAATAATAGCAACGTTATACTTATTTCCTCTATAGTTAAAATTTATTAATTAGACAGTTGACTTGTATTATTCTCAGGACGATTCTGATTAAGTGCCCCCTCTGGCTGGTTTTGGAATCACGTTGGGGAAGGTGGTTTCAAATTCCATTTGTATTAATTATTGGGGAGAAAAAAGGGTACAGATGATCACATCATGTAGCATTGTTGAGAGGAGACAAAACAAAAGGTTTCTTAAGCGGCATGTTTTGGTGAAGTCAATTGCTGGATAGGACTGTTTGCCAAATTGCCAATTAAAGCCTTTAATTCGTTTTTCATTTATTTCACTCTAGCTTCTAAAGCAATGCAAGACAAAAAATATCTCACCGCCATTTATAACCTTAACCTCATTCACATTAGCTACCTCACACAATGGCAACCTTGGCGCAATTGTGTCTACTGTTGATTCTGTTTGTTGTTCCTCTGAGAGGAGAATCAAGCTGCGACACCGTATCATGCGGCGCAATCGATATAGAATTTCCTTTTGGTCTGAATAAAAGCGAAAGCCGTGGATGTAGGCGTGGCTACCCGAGATTCGAAGTGTGGTGCGACAAGCGTAACCGAACGCTGCTGAGAGTGGCAGGTTCGGGGGATTTGGTGGTGAAGAGCATAAACTACGAGGCGCAAACGGTTAAGGTTAACGACCCCGAAGGTTGTCTCCCCAAACGTTTCTTGCAGAACCTCAGTCTCTCCCTGCACCCACCTTTCACGTTCGACGCAACACTTTACGACCTAACCTTCCTTCGATGCCCTTCCAATTCCACCGTAACAAAGGTGCACCCGCTCCCACCCATTTCCTGCCTGCGGGACTCCGACTCCGACTCGGTCATATTCTCGTGGTGGCCTCTCAGTGACACGTCACCCTGGCGCGATGAGTGTGAGGTGATATCCTCGGCTTTCGTGCCCATTGCGAATCCGGAGGCAACGGCGTCGCTTTTGGTGGCAGATCTTAACGACGACGTTGCGTTGAAGTGGCACGTACCGGCGTGTGGGGATTGTGCGGGCCGTGGCGAGCTTTGCGGCTTCACCGGAGACACCAGTCTTCAAGTTGGATGCTTCCCTGCTGCTACTACTCCTCAGAAAACCCAAGGTGTGTAATGTAATTATGTCTTCCCATTTTTACTTTTGCTTTCAACACCAACGTGTTCGTGTTACTATCATAATATATTATTTAATGTTTTTTTTTTTTTTTATTTATATATAAATTACTATCATACTTAAAAAAATGTGCACCCTATTCAGCATTTGTTGGTGCAAGTACAAAAATAAGAAACGATCAATTTATTTTAATTAGTCTTTTCTAGAAAAAGACAGGTAGACTATAAGAGCAACATAATAGAAAAATATTCAGCTCATTAGAAGGAATCCTTCTATTACGAATAACTGTAAATACCTATATATTAATTATTAAATTTAAATAATTATCTTACATCATGAAGCATTTTAGCGAGTCATGAAAGAGAGCTTCTTGTTAAAAAAATTATATAATTTATTTTTTATATATTATATTTATTTATAAATTAA